GGGGTGGGGTTCTTGGCCTCCTGTTTTTCGGAGGTGCTGCGCAAAAAACATCACCGTCAGATCAACGATCTACGTATCACATCCCTCTTACCCCTCCTCTCTCTCTCTCCGCCATGACTACCTCTTCCTTCCATCCCGATCCATGCACGCTTGCCACGTGTCATTACGAAATCATTCCCACCCTCGACTCTTCTTACATTCTGCTCTCCCTCTCTACCCCGATCCCGACAAGCCTTCCATTTGACTCCCACGTTCTGCTTTCCTCTTCCCCCTCGCCGCCTCCTCTTCTCCTCCCGTCTCCTCCTCCTATCTTCCCCTCTCCTCCTCTCCTCTTCCTCTCTTCTTCTTACACTTCCTCTCCCACCTTCCCATCCCGATCCGGCGAGACTGCCACCTTCCCATCCCGATCCGACGAGACTGCCACCTGACACGGCGAAATCCGTCCTATACTGTATATCCTCCTTTCGAAGCCGCCTCCCGCCCCGGTCCCGATGTGCCTCCTGGGCCGCACAGCAAACCCTTTTCTCTGCTTGCACCTTCTGCTTCGGTTCCGACATGTCTTCCACGTGGCACAAACCCACCATTCCACTTTCCGTCTCTTCCTTCTTCTCCTTCTTCTTCTTCTTCTTCTTCGTCGTCGTCTTCTTCTTCTTCTTCTTCCTCTTCTTCCTCTTCTACTTCTTCCTCTTCTTCCTCTTCTTCCTCTTCTACTTTTTCTTCCTCAGCCTCTTCTTCGTCGTCGTTGACGTCTTCCTCTTCTTCTTCCTCTTTCATCACCTCGGATCCTGACGTGTCTGCCACGTGGGACGATCACGCACTCGAACATTCCCCGTCGTCTTCTTGTTCCGCGACCATCGCCCATCTCGACGCGCCGCCCACGTCGCACGAAGACACCCTCTCCACATTCTTCTTCTCCACCTCTTCCCTTCTTCTCCTTCTTCATCCTCCACCTACCTTGTTTCCTCGAATACAACGTACGGTCATTATTGCTGTATTTGGGGTATCTTTCAGTCTAAATACAGCTATACTGCCCGTGCGTTGTATTCGGGGGAAGAAGGTAGTGTTCGTCTTTTCTCTTGTCCTCGGAGAGAGGAGGTACCTGACACATCGCACTACGCCTTTCCCTCTCGTGTTTTTCTTCTTCTCCTTCTCCTCCTCCTCCTCCTCCTCCTCCTCCCTTATCATTGACTTTTCCTTCTCCTCCTCCTCCCTTATCATTGACGTCTCCTTCTTCTTCATCCTTTACCCCCTCTCGCGGTCAGATTCGCGCATGCCCTCTTTAACGTGCCACGACGGCGCCCCTGCCTCTCCCTACTCCTCCGCTTCCTCTCCCTCCCCCTTCCCCCCTGCGACTCCCGCCCCTGCCACGTGGAATGGTGCACCCGTCCCTTGCCACTTATGCCTATTCTTCTTCCTTCTTCTTCTTCCTTCTTCTTCTTCTTCTTCTTCTTCATACAAATCGCGACGTGCCTGCCCTCCAAGCTCTCCTCCCAGTTCCTTCTCTTCCCACAGACCTCGACATGCCTGCCCCCGAAGCCTCCCTCTCATTTCTTCTTCTTCTTCTTCTTCTTCTTCTTCTTCTCGTGGCGGAAAGTTAAGTGGATGCGGGAGTGTGGTCTGCCCCTTGATGAGTGCTGGAGCGCAACCAGTCGAAACGCGTCGGGGAATGTGCGCATTTTTTGGATGCTATGCTCGTGCTTGTTCTGTAACGATCTTCCTACGTGCATGAGAACATAGCGTTGCCCTCGTTATCTCCTTCTTCTTCTTCTTCTTCTTCTTCTTCTTCTCCACGTTCTCCTTCTTCTTCTTCTTCTCCACGTTCTCCTTCTTCTTCGTCTTCTCCTCGTTATCTCCTTCTTCTTCTTCTTCTCCTCCACGTTCTCCTTCTTCTTCTTCTTCTCCACGTTCTCCTTCTTCTTCTTCTTCTCCACGTTGCTGCTGCTGCTGCTGCTGCTGATGCTGATGCTGATGCTGCTCAATCCCAGCGTGCGTACGTTACACGTGGCAGGAACTCAGCCTCTCCCTGATCTTCCAAAGCAGCCGACGATCTTTCCTCCTCCCACGGACTCCCCACGGAGAAAGACGACACATTCTGCGGCGCTGCTCAAAACCCTGATCTTTTCTTCAGGGGGGGGGGGGGGGATGGGGGGTGAGAGGGGGGGATGTTCGAAAGAAAAAAAAATAGAGTTTGTGCGCACTTTCAGTGCAGTAGTCTAGATCATACGCGTGGTGGATATTGCAACTGAGGGCGGATGGACAGTGCCAATACAACAACATCCAACGCCTGAGAGACGTATTTTTGTATGCTAACTGTCACTGCCTCAGTGGCCCCCTCTTTCTCCCAACTTCTCCATCTTGTCATATGTCATCCTCTCTTACTCTTTCTTCCCTTGTCGACGGCGCGATAAATGATGATACTATGGCCCTCGCCGCACCACTCACCAAAGTGTGCAATATGAGAATGAATCTGTGCTGCAAGAACACGGAAAGATACACCGCCATTGTTTTTATCTTTTGCCTATTTGATGAGCGGTGCGGCGACGCCTTACATCAGCGAAAGGCAGTGCCACTCGACTGGATGACACACACTTTCGGGACAATACCTTTGCTGGTATTAGCAACGGAGCGCACTTGTTAAGATGCCAATCAACGGTCGGAGCACTTGTTAAGAGACCCATCAACGGTGGAGAACAAAAAAAACATGAGCTCCAACAACAGTGGGACGCGCGCGAGAGAGAGAGAGAGAGAGTATTGACGAACGAAGGATCAGATGGAGTTTTGAGAAGGAAGTCAAGAAAAGGGAGAGAGTTGGGGCAGGAAGAAGCAGGGTGCGACAGGAGCGAAGGAGAGGACCAGAAGCAGCTCACCTGTCCTGGCAGATGCACACCAATCAATTTCGTACACGATCGATCGTAATGACCTCCAGGGAGGATAGAGACCAAGCCGTATTCGGATGGGCGACAGGGAGAAGGGACGGCGGGAGGGGCTTCTCTTGCGATGTGCGACAGATGTGCGACATGTACAAGGACCACCGCGCTAAACTCACGTGTTGTGTTCCTACTTCGCTCATCATGACTGATGTCAGTGGGTGTGATGGACTACGATAAAAGATTAGCATTCCGATAGCATAGGCGGGCAGGAGAAGGGGGCCTGAGTGAGCACGGCCCTTTCTGGAGGAGGAGGAGGAGGAGGAGGAGGAGAAGCTACTGGACCGAGGTCATCTTTTCTGTCGAGTCTCGACCACTTGCCAAATCCCACTCATTACCCCACGCGGCTCCGTGAGGGACAAACAAACACGTAACCGTCGATGAACACGTCAGCAGTTCAAGTCCTCCTGGAATACGGATGGCTACGACGCTGTTAGGGGGGGCCATACATACATGGAAAAAAAATGAAGTTCCCACGGTCCTCGAGCTTTTCGTCGTCTCTTTTTTACGGTTTTTTTTTTTTTTTTTTTTTTTTAATGCGTGTCATCCATGCGCAGCCGCGCCAGCACGACGGTTTATTTCTGATTCCCTCCCACCTTCTCCCCTTCCCCTCCCCTTCCCCCCCCACCCCCCTTCCTTTCCTTACCTATATCCCAGATCCTGTGCAGAACCTACGGTTACTTGGTCGGATTTCGAACTCCTGCATGGTAACAGTCCCAGATCCTGCGCAGAACCCACGGTTACTTCGTCGGATTTCGAAGTTCGAAGGGCCTCGCCACACCACTCTTGAATAGGGGAAATATGGACCTCGCCGGAGGGCACAACTAAAGAAAAGAAACAACCACCAAACTCGCAAGGCCTAGCGAAGCCCATCCACCGTTTCTCTTCGTTTTTCGCCTCACCGCCCCACAGCACACACGAAAACTCTCGCGAGAATGCCCTGGCGAGAGTAGAGCGCTACGGTCCACTTTTTTGGACGGACCTCGGTTGGAGCGACGCGGCACACTTGTGAGATTTCGCAGCTCCTCCAGTCGACCAGCAGAAGACCTACGAGTTTGCGAGCGTTGCACCAATTTTTTGGACGGACCTCGGTTGGAGCGACGCGGCACACTCGTGAGATTTCGCAGNTGGACGGACCTCGGTTGGAGCGACGCGGCACACTCGTGAGATTTCGCAGCTCCTCCAGCCGACCAGCGGAAGACCTACGAGTTTGCGAGCGTTGCACCAACTTTTTGGACGGACCTCGGTTGGAGCGACGCGGCACAGTCGTGAGATTTCGCAGCTCCTCCAGCCGACCAGCAGAAGACCTACGAGTTCGCGAGCATTGCACCAATTTTTTGGACAGACCTCGGTTGGAGCGACATGGCACACTGGTGAGATTTCGCAGCTCCTCCAGCCGACCAGCGGAAGACCTACGAGTTCGCGAGCGTTGCAGGCAGGGAGGACCTACAAGTTCTCATGTGTGTTGTTAACCTCGCGAACTTGGAGTCTAACAGCATTCACGACTTGTGTTCTGACAGAGGTCGTGTGGTTGCTGTCCGGTGACTCGTTTGCGAAACGAAGTCGTTTTTTTTTTTCGTTTCGTGCACCGTGTGGCGGGGCCCTATGTCAAGGGGCTTCGCCACTGTGACACCACTCTCGAAAAGTGCAAAAGACGAAAATGTGGCGATTGCATCTGGCCATGTTCTAGCGGGAAGTTCATTCTCATTTTGCACATTTTGAGAGTGGTGTGGCGATGCCCAAGAGCTGTCAGACGTTCTCAAGAGTTGGGTTTTCAAGAGTTTTGGGCCCCTCGCCGCACAGCACTCTCGAAAGAGCGATGCCGTTGGACACAGGATGAAAAACGGCAGTCATACAGCTTTGTTTTTTTCACATGGCATCAGGATAACGGCCTGACAACTCTTGAAAATCAATGGAGAAGTCCCTCAAGGGTTCGCCCAAGGACACACTAGAAAAAGCACGAGTTGCAGGCAGGCTGGGGGTTTGAATCTTTCAAGAGCCCCTCTTGAAAGAAAGGGGGGTTCAAGAGGCTGCCACTCTGACAGCTCTTGAAAGCCCCAAGTGTCAAGAGGCTGTGTGGCGATGCAGCAAATCTTGATAAAAAGTTTTCAAGAGTGGTGTGGCGAGGCCCGAACTCCTGCATGGTAACCGGTACATGGTTCGCAGCCCGTAGGTAGGCTGTGCTGTACCTCGTCGTTTTGACGGAGGGACAAATGGTCGTTGTGCGCAGACCAGTCGTCCGTCGGGCACGAAGGTAGTGAGGAGGAGGAGGGTGGGGGAAAACCCGAAGGAGGGGTGAAAGTGGGCTGGGAAGCCGTCATTGCCAAAAAAGGAAGGGGGCGGAGCCCCGACTGGTCTGTCTTTGGGCAGGCTGGGTCTGATGAGCCCGATTTTGAAGGTACCGGGTTTTCAGAGCCGAGCCCGATTTTGAAGGTACCGGGTTTTCAGAGCCTAGCCCGATTTTGAAGGTACCGGATTTTCAGAGTATGTGGTTGGTTGTTTCGGTCACTGTCTATTGTGTTTTGTTTGCTTTTCGTTTTCCGGAATCCGATTTCTTTTCTTTTCTTTTCTTTTTTGGGGGGACCAACATTTGATGCGTGGATTGTGCATGGATTCTGCACGGATTCTGCATGGATTCTGTAATCTGTCGGCGATGTCTCGCAAGCAAAGAGGATTGTATTTATTGTGTGATTGTGGACGTGTTTATGACCAAATAAGTGAATAAAATTGTCGTTGATCTGCTTTTCTGCCATTTTTGGCAAAGGACACTTCCAGGTTCGGGCGCTTTTTCGAATCCTCTTTGGTGGCGGGAGCTGGAGAACACAAAAACGGCTGGAAACGGATTCTTTGCCCGTGTCCTCGTGGTTGGTCGGTGGAAAAAGTGGACTGTGGGAGAAGGAAGAGGGAAGGCTGGAAGGCGGGAAGGAGAGGGGATTCGAATCGAATCCACTGGATCGACGAGGGGCTGGGAGGAGGGAGGCATCGAGCGGCCCGCTTAGGGGTGGAGGGGGTTGGGATGGGACAGGGCTACGGTTGTGTTGTACTGTACGGTGATGAGGTGGCTACCCACTGCTATGGAGCAGTGAGACTGCATTGCCATTGCGGTGAGACACAATGCTATCGCATGGTCCATGTGCAATGCACTTTCACTGCTACTCACTGCTATGGCGTGAGACTGCATTGCCATTGCGGTGAGACACATTGCTACTGCATGGTCAATGTGTCAACAGCCTCGTTAATAAACCATGAGTTCGAACTCACCGCCACCACTGCTGAATGGTTCCGATAGTGATCTGATATTATGAACAGCTTGCTTCATACATGTACCATTCAACCAGCCACAAGGCTGGTTATATATAGGGAGACAGCACTTAAAAAAAAAACAAAAAAACCTAAAGTCTGGTGATAGGTAGTACGACAGCACTTTCTTCTTTACTTCTTCCCCCCCCTTCTCCCTTCCCGAGAAAGGGCAACGGCCTTGAGATATCATCATTGAACTGACCGACCCCAGGTAATTCAGAGCTATTTTGCTCTGCGCATCTGATTGCTTCCCAATTCGAACGTGGGTCCATATTTCAGCAGTTCATGTGTGTACCTACTGAACTACTCTCTCTCTCTCTCTCCCTCTCTCTCTCTCTCTCTCTCTCTCTCTCTCTCTCTCTCTCTCTCTCTCTCTCTCTCTCTCT